GTCTGTTTAAGCTGTTGATCTCTTCTTGGTTTAGTTTTGGTGATTCCTATGATTTTAGATACCCGTCCATTTCTTTGAGGTTTTCAAATTTAGTAGAGTATAGGTTTTTAAAGCATTCCCTTACAATGTTCTGGATCTTTTGGATGTCTGTTGTGATGTTTCCCCTTTCATCTCTGATTTTGTTGATTTGTAGGTGCTCTTTCTTTCTTTTGGTTAATTGGGCTAGTGGTCTGTCAATCTTGTTTATCTTTTCAAAGAACCAGTTCTTGGATTTGTTGATTCTTTGTATTGTTTTCTTTGTTTCTATTTCATTAATTTCTCCTCTTATTTTTGTTATTTCTTCTTGTCTTCTGGGTTTGGGTTTCATTTGTTGTTGCTTTTCAAGTGTCCTGAGTTGCAATATTAAGTCATTTATTGTGTTCTTTCTGATTTTTTAATGTAAGCACTTAGAGCTATAAACTTCCCTCTAAGGACTGCTTTCAATGTGTCCCAGTGGTTTTGTTGTGTTGTATTGTCCTTTTCATTTAGTTCCAGGAATACTTTTATTTCTTTCTTCATTTCTCCTTTGACCCATTCATCATTAAGAAGTGTGTTGTTTAATCTCCATGTGTTCATGTAATTACTAGGGTTTCTTCTGGCGTTGATTTTAAGCTTTATTGCATGTGGACTGATAGAATGCATGGAATTATTTCAATATTTTTGTATTTGCTGAGACTTTTTTTGTGCCCCAGTATGTGGTCGATTTTGGAGAAAGTTCCATGGGGTGTGAATAGAAAGTATGTCTTGTGGTGCTTGGGTGGAATATTCAAAAGATAGCTGTTAGGTCCATTTGATGTATGGTATTGTTTAATTCAGATGTCTCTCTGTTTATTCTCTGTCCTATTGACCTGTCTAATGGAGACAATGGGGTATTTAAGTTCCCTACTATTAATGAGTTGGGGTTAATCTGGGTCTTAAAGGTCCTATAGTACTGTTTTTTATGAAGTCAGGTGCACCAGAGTTTGGTACATATATGTTCATGATTGTAGTATCTTCTTGGTCAATTGTTCCTTTGATCAGAATGAAGTGGCCCTCTTTATCTCTCCTTATTGGTTTTAGTTTGAAGTCTATTTTGTCAGCTATTAGAATTGCAACTCCTGCTTTTTTCTTAGTACCATTTGCTTGAAATATTTTTTTCCATGCTTTCACCTTAAGGTAGTACCTGTCCTTGAAAGTGAGATGGGTGTCTTACAGACAACAAAAAGATGGGTTTTGTTTCTTAATCCATTCAACTAGCCTGCATCTTTTGACTTGGAAGTTCAGTCCATTGATGCTTAAAGTTATTAATGAAAGACGTGTATTGATTCCTGTCATTTTGATTTCTGTTTGCATTCTTGGTCTGTGTGTTTCCACAGTTATACCTTCATTTAGTTTCTTTCTGTTACTCCTTGGGTATAGTTGTTCTTTCTTCAGCTCTTTGTATTGCTTCAAGAATTCTCTGAAGGGCTGGTTTTATGGACATGAATTCTTTCAGCCTATTTATGTCATGGAAGATTTTTCTTTCCCCTTCATGTATAATAGACATTTTTGCTGGATTAAGTATTCTGGATTGGCATCTATGGTCATTTAGAACTGGAAATACCTTGGTCCAGGCTTGTCTGGCTTTCACAGTTTGCACTGATAAATCAGCTGTAATTCTGATGGGTTTTCCTTTATATGTGACTTGTTTTTCTTTTGCAACTTTCATTGTTCTCTTTAATGTACGCTTAGTGTTTTTACTAGGATATGCCTTGGAGAGTTTCTTTTCTGGTCCTGTCTATTTGGTATTCTGTGTGCTTCTTGTATTTGTATGAGCATGCCTTTCTTTAATTTTGGGAAATTTTCTTCTACAATCCTGTTGAAGATCTGGCCAAACCATTATCCTGAGATTCTTCTCCTTCCTCTCTGCCTATGATGCATAAATTTGGTCTTTTTATGGTCACACATCTCCTGCATATTCCATTCCTATGTTTTCTTAAAATTTTCATAATCTGTGCTTGAGTGGTCTATTCGTCAACTTTTATCTTCCAGTGTTGATATTGTTTTTCATTTCATTCATCGTATTGGTGAGGCTTTCTCCTGTCGTTTCTAATTGGCTTACTGAGTGTTTCACTTTCTTCTTCATTTCAGCCTGCGTATTCTTCAATATTTCTAACTCTTTTCTGAATTCACTCAGAAGTTTATCCCTATCTTCTTTATCCCTTTGATTTCTTTTTTTGTCTGTTCTTTAAGTTCATTGAATTCTTTTATCATATTTATAATTGTTGTTTTGAATTCCATGTCCTGTGTTATCTCTAGGGGTTCTCATTGTACTCCTCTACAGGACTGTTGATACTTGATGGGGACATATTATTTGGGTTTTTCATGTTATTTTTTCGCTGTGACTTTGGCATATGGATTTTTTTGTAGTTTCTGATTCTTGTGTGAGACTCAGGCCCTCCTTTGTTGAGATTAGGTCTGTTTCTGTTTGTACACTTTATGTGCCTTTGTTGTTTACTTGTTGGGCATAAAAAGCTGATTGGTCTAGGCTTCAGGTTCTCTTTTGATTTTATGTTGGAGGGGCCAGATGGCTTTCGTCCTGCTGCTCAGAAGTTCCCACCAAGACCCAAGTCGTGTGAGTATCAGATACTCTCAGGCTTCCTCCTAAGGTCTGGATCCCTCTAGTCAGCAGTACACTGTACAGTTTGAAAGGCTTGCTAGGTTGAGGTAGGATTCAGGACTCTCAGGCAGTCAGGAAAGGAGGCTGGTCTCAGGAATCCCAGGCAGGTGGGGAGTGGGATAGCCAAGGATAAAGGCTGATCTCAGGTATGCAAAGGTAAGTTGGGGGTGGGGGCAGGCTATGAGGGCTCTAGGGGACTAGACTGAAGAATTGGGTTGGTCTGGGTACAAAGGATCAGGAAGCAGTGGAGAGTCTAGGCCAAGAGAATAGTCCTGAGGTCTGGGCTGCCAGGAGAAGAGGTGGGCCAGTGCCCATGCTAGAAGGAGAAAGGGGATGTGGGGGCTGGAGTTTAAGTCAGGTGTGGGTGTCCCACACTTTTTCTTGAATCATTTGAGTTACTCGGTTGCTTACAAACGTGGTAACACTATCCTAAATAGTTCCACAGCACTCTCCTGTGAACCAGGACATTCTTCCACATAATCACAGCATAATTACCATAGGATGCTAACATGAGTAATGCAGTATAATGGAGTTTTATGCAAATTTTTCCAATTGCCCTAATAGTTCTTTTAAGTTCCCTATTCTGGAGTGATTAAGGGTCATTGCTTGCATTCAGCTGTCACGTCTCCTTAATCTTTTTTAGATCTAGAACACCTCCAAACCTCTGTTGCCAGAAATTTGTTTGTTTGAAGCAGGTTTCACTATGTAACCCAGACTGGCCTGAGACAAATGATCTTCCTGCCTCATTTCCCCACCACACCTAGCTCAGAAGATGAGGGTTTTAGAGCAGAAAGGTGTTTTTGAAATCTGCCTTCCCTCACACCAAACACATGCTCCTGTACCCTCACCCGCGTGTTCTCTACCATGCCCGTAATGCACCCAAATAGGGTAACACAACAGTTTCCAAATTGTACTCATTTTCCATCATCTGCCACAGTGTTAAACAGAACATGGGGAAACAGCAGCAATCAATAGAAATGTCCTGGGAAACTCAGAAATCCTTCATAACTTAGAGACACAAGCCCACTGATCTGTGGTTTATCCTTTTTAATAGAACAGTCCTTTTAAAGACCTCAGCATAGCCTTTTAGCTTATCTAAGATTTGTTTACCTTCCAATTGCCTCTCCTTACTGAACTTTACAGCCTAAAACAGGTACTTCCTGACCTCCCCCACCCATTCACTTAGCATACAGACCTTATGAACAAACTAATTAAATAGCTGTAATCACAAACCTACTACATGGCAGGCAACTTTGCCAGTAACAATGCACTAAGTAGTGTTTCTGTGGTGCCGATTTACAGCCTTTTGAGTAACCTTCTGTTAGCTGAATTCTCCAGTTCTTGTGACATGAGATGAGTGAAACTTTACTGACTTGATTTACCCAAGGAAAATCCCTGAAATTCCAGTCTGGTCGAGCTAATGGGAGCCAAACTTTCTTAGCTGAATGGGCTGTGATACAGTGTCTGTACCATATGTGGTCTGTAATTAGAAAATTGAATTCAGCCATAAAATTCTAATCTATGAATATTAAACTAGGTCAGAATATTGTTTAGTCTCCTTTTGGGCTTTTTGAGACAGTATTTCACTTTGTATCTGGGCAGTCCTCAAACTTGTGATCTTTCTGCCTCGGCTTCCCAAATGCTAGGATTATAGGTGTACACCACCAAACCTGGCAGAATATTGCTTAACTCTTAGACCTGTGTACCAGATAAAGGAAACTGAGGGCTATCTCAGCATTATGGAAGGGTGGAACATCAATACGGGAATTAATGAAAACTAGGAAAGCTAGATGCCCCTAAACACGAAGTATTTTCCTGAAAGAGTGATTTAGGACTTGGCAAGTAACTACCACCATGCTCGAAATGGGACCTGGTGACGAACACATTGGCATTGGTGCAAGTTAGAGCATAGTTAAAAAAATAAGCCTACCACAATGTCAGTGCTTCTAGAAGAGCTCTGGTGGACTTGGTTCTTTAAGGAGCACCTAGGGCCAAGCATCTCCGGTGCCCTGGAGTTCTCAGTGCGCCCTTCTGCTTGCTTCCTTAGGGCTCCTGGGGATCTGGAAAGGATCAGTACAGCAGAGAGCTGCTTGTGTCTTCCATCTTCGCAGCTGCTAGTCGCAAGAGGAAGAAGCCCAAAGAAAAAGCACAGCCCAGCAGCTCGGAAGACGAGCTGGACAGTGTGTTTTTCAGGAAGGAGAACGTGGAGCAGGGTCCGAGCGACCTTAAAGAGGAGTCGAGGAAAGACAGAGAGCCGTCAGGCGGAAAGCAGAGCATCCTCACTACGCACGAGAGTAGCGCGAGGAAGGATGCGGGCGCGAGGGGGAGGCCGGCGCGACAGGAGGGGCGCTCATCAGGGGGCTCCGGGCTCAGCCGGCCGGGTGCAGGTCAGGACAGCCCGCGGGCCCCCGCACCCGGGCCCTTCCAGGCCGGACCGTGCAGCAGGACAGCCGCACAGCTCCCGGCCGGGGTCTCCGACCCCAGCACCAGCCTGGACCACGGCCGGCGCAGCCCGGACGCGCAGTCGGTGGCCGAGAGCAGGGGCGACGAGGCAGATGACGAGCGGAGCGAGCGCATCAGCGAGGGACGGGCGGTGGAGACAGACAGCGACGGCGAGGGCGAGCTGCCCCCTAGCCCGCCTGCACGGCCCCGGAGCGACCCGGACCCCCACGCCCGGCTGCGCCACAGACACTCGGCAGGTAGCGAGGGCACGGAGCGCAGCCTGACGCCAGACGTGGACAGCCTGGCGCCTGGTGTGGATGACCTGACACCAGATGTGGACGGCCTGGCCTTAGGTGTGGACGGCCGCCGGCCGCAGTTTAGCTCACACCGGCTCATTGGCTGCGACACGCTGTCCAGGAGGAAGTCGGCTCGGCTCCAGGCGGACTGTGCGAGCCCCGGGGACTCAAGCGACAGAGACGCGCCTACCCTCGCCAGAGTGCTGGACGTGATGAAGAGGGGCAAGTCCACCGGAAGTCTGCTCCCGCCGGGCAGAGGCGAGTTGGACAGGCCGGAGCCCACCTGGAGAGCGCGGATCGCCGACCGGCTCAAGCTGCGGCCCCGCGCGCCCACGGACGACATGTTCGTGGCACAGCCCACGGGGAGGAAGGGCATCCGGCGCCGACACACGCTCGGGGGCCACCGGGACGCGGACATCAGCGGCCTGGGATTCTGGAAGGCGCACGAGCAGAGCGCGGACCCAGACTCGGAGCTTTCCGCCGTGAACCGGCTACGACCAAAGTGCCCAGCCCAGGACCTCTCCATCTCGGACTGGCTGGCCAGGGAGCGCGTGCGCAGCAACGCCTCGGACCTGGGCGCAGACGCCCAGGAGCCGCAGCCTGGGAGTCCGGGCGTGCGGGAGACCGCCAGCACCGCCACCACCGAGGCACCCAGCACTACCACCACCGAGGCACCATGCTCCCAGCACCGCGCCAGGGCTGCCACCAGCACCGCGGCTGCACCCAGCCGGCCCCTTCCCACACCACCACGGTCACCGGACCAAATGAACGGAGAAAGCTTCCAGAACCGGAGCCAGAACGCGGGATCCGCGGCCAGTGGCCGCCAGCACAGACTGGCCGATGGGCCGGGCCCCAAGGCGCAGTTGCACCCGTGTCTTTAGGCGGCGGCATGTCCACTCGAGCACGTAAAAAGCTATTGTTACACGGTCCAGTAACTCTGTAAATATGTTTCTTGTACCAGAATTGTTATTATGCAGCCTTGGTTTGGGCTGGTTTCATCATTTTGCACTGTGAACTAGCTTTACCGTGCATTACTACAGCCAGAAGAACACACATATATATTTAAAAATATATCAGATAGTTGTATACAAATAAGCTATTTGTTACAACTTAACTACATAGTATATACCCCAAATTACTGAACAAAATCGCTGTTACTATGCAGCAAAATTGTTCTTTCGGTTTTCTCACTAACAAAAGTGCCTCATGAAAGTACGTTTGATTTTTAGGGTGCCATATTGTCAAAATTAGATAACTTACATTGAATAAATGAATGCGTTTTACCAGTAACAACGTTCATTACACTCACCAGTTCTAACACAGGTTGGTACAGAACTTCAATTCCTTAGTCATTCCAGGTGGATCTGAGTTTTATATTCAAACTTTTAATACAGTTTTTGAGTTTTGTGTGACTTGAATTTTTAATCTTTCTGTAAAATACATAACTTAAATGAACATATTATATGCGTATCTTTTCTTCAGATACCAGATTTTATATAAATGTTGTAACATAGGTATGTAGATAGTGGATCCTGGATGGAACTGGCTTCTTACAAAGAAGGATATGAATCTGCATGAGTACTTCAAACCTGTGTCATGCCTCTGCGCATACCCAATTAAACACTGGAAATAAAAATTGTTTTGGTGAACTTTGCATTGTTTGGAACTTTGTTTTGTTTTTGATCTTTTGAGACAGGGTCTCCCTGTAGCCCCAGCTGTCCTGGAACTCACTATGTAGACCAGGCTGGCCTTGAACTCACGGAGATCTGCCTGCCTCTGCTTCCTGGGTGCTGGGATCAAAGGTGTGTACCACCGTGCCCAGCAGAACTTTGTTTTTAAATGTTGCCCATTTATACACTAATTATTCCTATATTTTAAAAATTAACTCCTGTATGTGTATAGTGCACCTCTCCACTTGCTGTGCTGGTAAAGATCTCTTACAGATTCTTACAGGACTCTGACCTCACTCCTGTGTACAGATATTTGACATTTCTAGCTAAAGCAGTATAGATTGCCCACCTTTTCTCAGAATGCACCAAGTGGAAAGCACTTGAGTTGTGGACGTCATCCCAGTTCTTTACTTCCCAGATATGTGTTAAGTTAGATGATGTAACTTCTCTGATTTCTTCATATAAACAGTGACAGTAATACTTCCCAGTGTAAGTGCAATTCCTGGATAACAAAATGCTGTCCCAACAAACGCAGTGTTTGACAATCTTAGCAATCATTGGAGCTATGGATTCTCAACTGTCAGACTTGAAGCTATGAAAAATATTTTTAAATTCCCCTTTACCACAAAATGAAATTCATGTATTTACATATCTTTATATATAGTCAGCATATCATAGAGGCCACAGTTCCCTTATTACAAAAAATACATGTATAACATAAGCATTTCAGTATGCAGATGCTCAGACATAGCCACGTTGTAGAACTCTCATGGAGTAAATGTGGCACAGGCAGGTGCGGTCACTCACAGTGCACTGACCATAAATGGGGCTGAATTGCTATGCCACCAGCGATGTGATTTTCTTAAACAGCATGCTGCTAGTAAAGATCTCAAGAGAACACTTTTGCTTAGTTTACATGGCAGAAGTAAAAGCATATTAGTAACCATCAAAAATAACTTAGGCATTTAAAAACATTTGGTTCAGGAGGCTGGAGAGATGGCTCAGTGGTTAAGAGCATTTGTTGTTCTTGCAGAGGACCTGGGTTCCATTCCCAGTGCCCATGTGGTGGCTAACCATCTAACTCCAGTTCCAGGGGTACATGTGGTACACATACATGTAGGCAAACACATAAAAATAAATGTTTTGAAGAAGTTTGGTTCAAGGCGATTGTATTCCAATCTGCCCTTAAGTTCATTTTTTTAAAATATTTTATTATTTTATGTGTTATGAGTGTTTTGCCTGCATGTGTGTTAAGTGCACATGTGTTGTGCAGTGAATGCCTGCAGAGGTCAGCAGAGGGCTTTGGATTCCCTAGAAGTGGAGTTATGAATGGTTGCTGGCTGCCCTGTGTGTGCTGGGAATCAAACCCGTCCTCTGCAAGAGCAACCAGTGCTCTTAACTGCTGATGCATCTCACCAGCCCCATTTTTTTTTTTAAGATTTCATTAGTTGTACCTTTTTAAAATTCTAATGTAATTGCTTACATAATTGTTTTTTCCAGGACTTTCCTTTTTTCTTTCTTTCTTTTTTTTTTTGTTTTGTTTTGTTTTGTTTTGTTTTTTTGAGACAGGGTCTCCCTGTAGCCCCAGCTGTCCTGGAACTCACAGAGATCCACCTCTGCCTCCTGAGTGCTGGAATTAAAGACATGTGCCACCATGCCTGGCTTTTACTTTCTAATATATGCATTTTATAGACCTGCAGGCTCTATTTTTATTAACTTTTTTATGTTCACTGGCAAAATGGCTGTATGGTAGAGGTGCCTGGCAGCAGGCCTGACAACCTGAGTTCACTCCCTGGAACCTGTATGGGGAAAGGAAAGAACCAATACATCTACATTAAAATGTAATCTTATGTTTTCTAGTTTCCCTTCTGCTTTTTTCTTTGAACCTGTGTGTTATTTGCACGTGGATTGGTATAATTTCCGCACATCTAAAGGCTTTCTAGTTAATAGCCAAAGGCATACAGGATCACTGAACATAGCGAGTTTTCAAACATTCAAAACATACATGATCAATTTTTAATTTTTTATTCTGTATGAGTGCAGGCACCTGCATGACATCATGTCTTCTGATGCAAGTGGGCATCAGAGGGCAACTCTCAGGATTCACTCCTGCCACCTTGATGGATCCAGGGGTTGAACTCCGGTTGTTAGGCCTGCCTGGAAGCATGTCCACCCCCTAAGCCACCTTACTGGCCTTCTTGTCGTTTTAAAGAAGTGTTCCTCCTTGGGAAGAGTGCGTGTGTGGTCCGTCAGGTGACATAAGAAAAAAGAATGAAAGCTGGGCATGGTGGTGCACACCTGTGATCCCAGCACTTGGGAGGCAAAAACAGGTGGATCTCTGTGAAGTCAAGGCCAGCCTGGTTTACATATTGAGTTCCAGGCCAGCTGGGACTACAGGAGATACTGTTTCAAAAAGACACACAATTCTGTAAGTAGTAAACCTACCTTTCAAGAAAAGCATGTGAAATAGACATTTCCAAACAGAAACAAAAATTTACTAGCATACTCACACTAACAGAAATAGTAAAGTTATTTCTTTTATGTGTATAAGTATATTGCTCACATGTGTGTAAGTGCACCCATGTTGTACAATGCCTGCAGAGGTCAGATGGCATCAGATCCTCTGGAACTGGAGTTACAGATAGTTGTTAGCTGCCATGTGGGTGCTAGGAATCGAACCAGGCTCCTCTGCAAGAGCAGTCAGTGTTCTTAACCACTGAGCCATCTCTCCAGTCCCATAATTAAAGTTCTTTAGGAAGAAAAAGACCCCAGATGAAAAATAGAATTGCAGGGAGAAATGCAGAACCAAAGAAATGGAAATTGTTGGTAAGTCTCTGTGTGTGTGTGTGTGTGTGTGCGCGCGCGTGCGTGCGTGCGTGTGCGTGCGTGTGTGTGATCCGTCATAACTGATGTGGGTTTTTATTGCTTTTCCATTTTTTTTCCCTTACCTGTCAGCAGTTTTCTGTAGTGTGTGATTTATGATGCTTTGGGTCTTGAATTTGTCACTTGACAGCCCTTTAGGAAGCTTCCCGCATACATTCCTTCTGCTCATGGTGTTGTGTCTGTTCTTTACCATGCAACACACAATTCATGATGTCTGTATGTTCATCCTTTCAATTTACAGGTATTGATCCATATTGTCTACTGTCAATTCATCCTGTCTCAGGTTTATTCAATCTTACTTCTTAAT